TACTGTGTCTCCACTGTCATCATCAGAAAGGATGTCTGCCTCTTCATCCCCATCTCCTGTATGATAGCTAGAAATATCGCTACTGCTAGGTACAGTCCGAAAAGAGCCCGACGTGCTTAACGACCTATTTAACACAGCTTTCTCATTTTGACTGAAATCTTCAGAAAAACCACTTGCAGCAGTGACTGCTTCTTTCTGAGCACTCTCTGGTACCCTGGCATGATCAGTTGAAGTTTTTCCAAAGAAGCGTATATCTCTGTCAACTGTAGGTGTCTCAGAGTCTGAGTTCAAGTCTTCATTTGACAGCTGCCTTTCTGCGGGTACAGTTCTGCTCCTGGTAAGCTTATCTGATGAATTTATCCCTAGCAGGCCAACATAATTAGTGTTGCTAGGTGAATCTTCAGCTTGTGGTGGTGATACTCTGCCCAAGTTTACCATTGCCTTCTTTATAGACTGATTAAAAAAATCCGGTGTAATTTCATGTTTTGGACTCTTGCCTCGTGACACAGCAAGATCCACTTTCTGTTTCATTTTTCTGGAAGGTTGTGACGTACGGGCACCAAAACTGCCTGAAGGGCCCAAATCTTGCGGTGGAGATCCTGGATTCCTGCTGCTGCCATTTTGAAGATTGACTTCAGTAACACTGGTTGTCTCAGGTGATGGTATCTGTCTGTTTGGGGCTGGGTGATGTTGTCCAGTGGGCGAAGGTCCAACCACAGTGCTTTCTGCTGGAACAGCAGTGATCTTTCTTCTGTGAAGAAAGACACTTATTTCATAAAGACCTTGAAATTAAAATAAAGATGCAAATATGCTAAAGCCAAATGAGCTAGAACATGATAACCGTCCCACCCCCTCCCCCCAAAATGTTTTTAAAAAAATAATTTTAAAAAAAAAAGGGGGGGGGGGGGGGGGGGGCTCAAGACATTGGGGACATTCTTTTTAAAAAATGTCACTAAAAATGTTTTGAAAATGTATTTATGTCATGTGTTTGTATTTTCAAAATATTTGAAGATATATAAAGGGAATGTTGAATTAAGAATCAACATCATAGCACTCGGGACACTTCCATAAACACTCCATCCCCCATCTTCAGCAGCAAACAAAGAGTTTCAATTCCAGTGGCACCAGTAACTGTCTGATTGTACATCTCTCTCGCCTTTCCCTTGAGTGCTGAGCATTGGCCAGATCCCCTCGTAACTCCTCACAGCGCCATTCTCCTCAGACCATAATGATCTATTTGCACTTCTGCACTGTAAACTCGCTGCCAGAGGAAGTAATCAATAAACATGAACAGAATGAAGCATTAAAAGGAATACATTTCCCGGGGCCTGAAAACAATATATACTAAGTAACTCATGCTGTGACCCCGTGAACTCTATCACTGAGGCTTTTGGGGAAAGTTCGACACCAACTATGCTTTAAAACAGAACTTGGCTTGAAGAAAAACCTCCCTTACTTATCATTTTAGTTTATATATTCACATTATCACCTCCTAAACATTTGTGCAGGGGTGGACTCAGCAAAATTCAGAAAATAGACATTTATGGGGAATCTATCCCAACCGGAAGTGTCCATTTTACAGCTTCTTGGGGTGACAGGATTAAAGGATACAATAAAATATTTAAAAAAAAAACAGCAATCCAAATAAGAAGCAGCTTTACACGATCTCAAGCCTTTATAAGCATGTGACATAAACGTCACCATGGAGATCGCCCCATGTGAGGTCAGGGGACCCATCAGGTGTCAGTTGGGGTGGGGGAAAGGGAGGGGGGGGGGGGAGGAGATCCTATCTCTTTAACAAGCATATCCTAAAATGTAACTAATTAGGGATTTGATGAAACTGAATGTGTTGGGTCGAACAGTGCAGATATCACAGCCTAGACGTAAATCACAGCAAAATGTGCTAACCAAACTTTTAAGAATGAACACAGAATAGGAAGAAGCCTGAAGACAGAAAGAACATGCAGACAGTATGCGGCTGCGGTTTAATAAAATTAGGTAGACATCTGACAGACAGTTTGTACCTGGAGGTCACACTGTAACTGGCTTGTTTGATGACATCATCCAGGGTGAAGCTTTCCCACCTCTCTTTCATTCTCTTGATGTTTTCCTTTGGAACACCGTGAACATTTTTTCTGAAAGACAATCCCAAATATGATAACCAAATATGATAATGATGATGACCAAATTAGAATATGATAACTAAAGCCAGTCATAAAGAGAGCCAGTCTCTTAAAAATTAAACATGCTAAAGATAGTTTATAATCTTAAGTAAGTGGGAACAGATCAGGCTAAAGATGATGATGATGAAGAAGAAGAAGAAATGTTTTATAATTTTATATGCAGCCGGAAGAGATTTGGTTTAAGAAGAAAAACAACAACAAGTAGAAGATGGTGTCTCAACCCTCTTTCCACCTTCGTTAAGTTTCTTACACACAGTTCAGTGGGTTATGTATCTTGACAGAGACAACAAATCAAATGGTTTACGCACTTGGAGAGATTGCCGTGTGATGACAAACCATGAAAGGCAAACACCAAAAAAGAGGAGATGGATGAGCAGCATGATGTAGACAAAGAATGAGATGGACAAATATCAGAGAAACTCTACAACAGCATGATGTGTCCATGGCTGAGGTAGCCAAAAGAGCAAGAAGCAGAACCTTATTATCTCCCTCGACACCCGAAGCGGTAAAAGTGAAGAAGAAGAAGAAGACTAAAACACAGGTGTCGAAATGACATGCCTTTGCTATCACTCAGCAAAGTACTGGCTCTGTCAAAAAAATGTGTATTACAGCGTTTAATAGTGATAAGCAAATAAAAAAAGATAATTTCAACCCCCAAAAAAAACATACAGAATAGAGAAAACACACAAATAGAGTGTATAAAATATAGCAACTTCTCACTAAGTAAACAAATAAATGAGGAACCCCTTTCCATGTGATAATATATTTTTCATTGTAAACATTACCTTGCCAACTCCATTACTTTCATTCTCCATGCTGTATCTGGTTCAAACATCTGGATATCGTACTGATGTTCCAAAGCCTGGATTTAGAACACAATAAAGTAACGTTTAGTTCAGACTATTTCTTTAGTAACATTTGATTCAGACTATTACTTTAAAATACCATGGACTAAAATCTGTGGAGAGAATGAACACCTATGATTAGGTTTAGGTTTAGACGACAGATCAACATCATGATAGCAAGGCTAGCAGCCCATTCTACTTCAGATCAAGCCTCAGCGCAGTGCACGAAACTCCGTAGCACCAGTGAGGATCCTGAAATACTTTGGGTAGTTTTACATGCCTGGGCTGCTAGGCAAGGCATATTATGATGATGATGTTTCTGATAACAGTGTTGGTCACATGGAGATGTAGCACTGAAAGGCTGTCAGCCTGGGTATTTAAGGATGCATAGCAAATGCTATATTGGGAGCTAAAGTGGTGCACCGGCTAGATGCTCACCTCTGACATGAAGGTCTTGGGTTCAAATCCACACTGAGTAAGATTGTTTCCTTCCAAAACAAAAATGACTTGGCTCCATGCCTCAAACGGGTACCAGGTAAAGTCTTGGGAAGTAAAAGCGGCTGGCGTGATGATGACCACATCAGCTACTGAACATCAATTAGACTGCAAATTATAAGTCTAGCACCATATACCCAAGAAACTACTGCAGATACGAAGGGTGTACTTTCTGATCTTAATGAAGCAGGGCCTTTTTCAAAATGCACCCTGGCTCCGTGTTTGATCCAGCCTCAAAAGTTTTAGCATATGCTAGAGAAAGTTTGAGAACCACTAGAGATGAGGAATGAAAGTTAAATGCATTTGAAAACAAATGCCTGAGGAAAATAATGAACACAAAATGGGATGAATTCACAAGGGATGAAGAAATAAGAAAAATATCTGGGCAACCAAAAGTATCAACAATTATAAGACAGTCAAGATAGCTCTATATTGGACACACTATGAGAAGAGATGAACCGAAAATCACCAAACAATCAGTGAAATTCAGAAACTGAGGGGTTGGGGAGACAATGGCGTCCAAGAGAAACCCTGAAGCCAATGCTGATAGGAGAAACCAAGGCTGCTGAATGGTTCCATCCATGCTATAGAAGTGACTGTTCTGGACAGAACAGAATGGAGGAGAAATAGACTGTGAGCCCTATTTGTCATATATAATGGAACAAATGGACAATGAATCAATATATGTATGTCTTGGTGTAAAGGTATTGTCTCTCAACTGTATGACGCATGATGTAAAGGTATTGTCTCTTAACTGTATAACACATGATGTAAAGGTATTGTCTCTCAACTGTATAATACATGATGTAAAGGTATTGTCTTTCAATTGTATAATACATGATGTAAAGGTATTGTCTCTCAACTGTATAACACATGATGTAAAGGTACTGTCTCTCAACTGTATGACACATGATGTAAAGGTACTGTCTCTCAACTGTGTAACGCATGATGTAAAGGTATTGTCTCTCAACTGTATAATACATAATGTAAAGGTTATTTCTCTCAACTGTATAATACATGATGTAAAGGTATTGTCTCTCAACTGTATAATACATGATGTAAAGGTATTGTCTCTCAACTGTATAACGCATGATGTAAAGGTATTGTCTCTCAACTGTATAATACATAATGTAAGGGTATTGTCTCTCAACTGTATAATACATAATGTAAAGGTATTGTCTCTCAGCTGTATGACACATGATGTAAAGGTATTGTCTCTCAACTGTATAACGCATGATGTAAAGGTATTGTCTCTCAACTGTATAATACATAATGTAAAGGTATTGTCTCTCAACTGTATGACACATGATGTAAAGGTATTGTCTCTCAACTGTATGACACATGATGTAAAGGTATTGTCTCTCAACTGTATGACACATGATGAAAGGTATTGTCGCTCAACTGTATAACACATAATGTAAAGGTATTGTCTCTCAGCTGTATAATACATGATGTAAAGGTACTGTCTCTCAACTGTATGACACATGATGTAAAGGTACTGTCTCTCAACTGTATGACACATGATGTAAAGGTATTGTCTCTCAACTGTATGACACATAATGTAAAGGTACTGTCTCTCAACTGTATAATACATGATGTAAAGGTACTGTCTCTCAACTGTATAATACATGATGTAAAGGTATTGTCTTTCAACTGTATGACACATGATGTAAAGGTATTGTCTCTCGACTGTATGACGCATGATGTAAAGGTATTGTCTCTCAACTGTATAATACATGATGTAAAGGTACTGTCTCTCAACTGTATAATACATGATGTAAAGGTACTGTCTCTCAACTGTATAATACATGATGTTAAGGTATTGTCTCTCAACTGTATGACACATGATGTAAAGGTACTGTCTCTCAACTGTATGACACATGATGTAAAGGTTTTGTCTCTCAACTGTATGACACATAATGTAAAGGTAGTCGAATGCCCACATTCTGCAGCTGGTATGCAGTGGTAGGCTTTCAGGCAGGCTGGTGTAAAGTGGTTGAGGACCTATGCTCTAACTGCAGATAAAGAGAGAATGACAAAGAGTAAGAGCAGATGAAGAAAGATGAGGAAGAAGAAGAAAAATTAGTAGGATGAAAACAGAAGAAGAAAAAAAGAAGCAGAAGAGTAAGAATAAGAAAGAAGAGGAAACAAAAGTTAGATAAGAGAAACTAGATGTATGAAAACCACATGTCTTTGCTGCTGTCAGGTAATACTGGCATTTTTTTATTACAGTATCTGGTACTAATTAACAAATAAAAAATGAATTTTACTGAGTCCTGTAAGGAAAAAAGCTGGGAAATAATGACCTCTTTGCTAATCACAGTAAAAACAAAACCGAGCTTATCTTACACTGCCTGGCGGCTGGGATAGAAGATAGGTTTACACAGCACATAAAGAAAAGATATTCGTCCCGCTGGTACATACTACCAATGTGGCATGATCAGAACATAGTCACATACAAGTTAACTAACTGAGGAAAAATGGAACTGATCTGTCATTTCCGTCTGGCATGTAAGAGTGAATCAAGAACTGACATAACTGCACTCGGGACATTCCCACACATGCTCTGTCTCCTTAATCAATAGCCACCGAAGACTTGGCATACTAATAATACCTGTTGCAAACTGATTAAAAAGGTGGCCTGTTTCCCCATCAGTGCTGAACATCTTCCAGACCCTCTACTCACCCCTCCCCCCCCCCCCCTTTTCATGCAGAAAGTTCTGTTTGTTCATCTATTTCTGAACTTTGGTTTTGTTCTGTGATGAGTTCTGTATACATTTCAGTTTTACAGATCTGGACTATATGTGTGCAGACTGCTAGTTCCTTGCCTCTCAGGCAGAGGCACTCGGGCTTCAAAGGAAAGGTTGATCCTATCTATGGTGGCCAGACCCCTGATTGTGAGCCTCTTTCTAGGATGACCACAGAGAAGTGTAGACAGGCTCTGACCAGATGATACCTGGCCCTAGTGCACATCACACATGGATCAGCAGCTGCGCATCCCATGTTAAGCTTAAAAAAAAAACAGAAAATGTTTAAGCTAAATTAAACTCACCAAAACGGCATACGGCAAGAGTTCCCACATGGTTGTGTTGGTGTTGTCAATAATTACTGGTGATCTGCCTTCCTTCACACACTGAAGAGCTGGACACAGGGAAGAAAATTAATGCAAATAGTATATAGATTCACCATCACACAAATTAAAACAAAAAACCCTCCCTGTGTGGGTCCTGGGGTCCAGTTGTGGGGAAACAAGAATTATCCCCTGCCTCCCCAACAAACATGTTGTAAGAGTCAACTAACTGGGGGGCTTCCTTCACTGTCCGAGTGCATCTGCCCTAGAGGCAAGTCACCAACAACCAGCATACAATTAAGTCAGATATGTTAAACAGATGTGAACGCAACACTAAGGTTCTGGATCAAGACTAAAGTCCTGAGGTGAACAAACAACCAGAACTTTCTGCTGGAGTTTACAGCCGGCAAACATGAAGAAGAAGACAAAAAACTTTTCTAACAAGGACCGCATCAAGTCAAATTTTTACCCTAATAAACTGACCTGCCAGGCAGACCCAGCCTGAAGCAGGTACCAGGCTATGTTAATGGAAGTTAAGGCAGCCAGCAAGATGTTGAATATAACACCAGTGAGTGCTGACTGCTCTACACAAATATGGGTAGCATCAAATACTTAAAAAAAAATTTTTAATGGTGATTTACTTGTCCACATATGTTGTGGGAATCACCGTGGCGTAGCAGCTAAACACTCGAATGAGGATTGTAAGGTCGTGGCTTCGCTCCCTGGTGGAGACAGACTTTTTTTTTCTTTAAAAATGACTATGACTCCAAGGCCGACCCAGCCTTGAGTAGGTACCGGTTGCAGCCCCAGGAATTCAAGGCCGCTGGCGGGATGCTGACCACATCACCCATCTTGTGCCCATTGGTCTTTAAAAATATAGGTCTAGCCCTATATACCCTATTCACCTAAAAGCCTGGAAAAGGGACCGTTACAACTTTTTTTTTTTTTTAAATTTGCTGTAACAAATCAACTGCAAGTCTGAATAACACAAGCAGAAGGTTAATTTTTTGTTCTGTGAATGTTCATTATGCATTTATTTCAGCACCGTCATAAAACGGGACAATATGTATGAGTCATTACTGGAGCCAGTTTTTGCCCTTTCAAGGCAAAGTATGATTAGTCTTAGTCAAGGTTTCAAATGGGTCACCCCATACCTGCTCCATTCTTGTGCTAGCGGAAATAATTTCATTTTAAAAGACATCTTCACTAACCCATTTGAAACTAGTGAAAAACTTGTCAGCCCAGAACTGAGCTCACTGTTGGCACAAACAGTCAATCATGAGAGCTGGCAAAACATTATGTATTAAATCCATAGCTCACATTGTTATGACCTTTGAACCCTGAGTCCAGAACTGAGAAATATGCATCAAGAAAACTTATGTGAAAACAAATACCTTTTCCGAGCATTGGCGACCACCCAGTTATATTCTGGCCGGAAGTCTAAATGTGTTTGAGGTCTTCATAAGTGCCCCACAGTTTGTCTTTGAGCATCACTCCTATGATCCATACAGACTTTGATTACAACTATGAGAACCTTTTTTTTTTACCTGCCCACTATGTTAACTGGTCAACGTCTGTGGCTTAGCGTTACAAACGCTCTTCGTAAAGCCAGGGTGCTGGGTTTGATCTCAGCTGCAGGCCTTGAGCTGGTTTCGACAGTGGTACCGAGAAGCCGACCGTCCAGAAAGCAATGGCAAACTACTGGACGTAAATTTGCCTAGAAAACCCACAACAGCAAAAAAATGCAGAGGTTGGTTCTGCAATGTCCTGTAAAGAATACACAACTAACTTTAACTACATTAACTGAAGTAACATTCAAAATCAAATCTATCCCAAGACTCCCCCGTTTCAAACATGACCTTGGCTCCCAGGTCAATCCATCCTTGAGGGGGTACCAAGTCTGAAGCAGGGTACCAGGTAAAGACCTGGAAAGCAAAGGTGGGCGGCATTATACAGACCACATCACCTTCCGAGTGGTCTGTAAAATATAGGACTAGCACTATATGCAGAATACGCCTGAAGATGTAGAAAGGGGTCTTTTACTTTTACTTTATAGTTTTACTTTAGACTACAATACTTTATAAATTGAACACCATCTTCTTGGCCTGAAAAAGTAAATGACAGGAAAGGGAACGCACCTCTCTTCTTGTTCCAGTCATGTGCCTCCGGCAGGTCATTTCTGTTGTAGCAGTACTGCCCGACACCTGTGAAGAAGTCATCTGTGGATAAAATGTCCCCCCGGACACCCATCTGCTGGCTTTCTGCAATCAACTGCCTGAAAAAGAAAACAGCAAAAAACTGAATAAAGGAAACACAGCCAAAAACTTCTTCTTCTTCTGGTTCACCAGCTGTAAACTCTGGCGGACAGTTCTAGTTGTTCATCCACTTTTGGACTGCAGTCCTGTTCCAGAACATGAGTGTTGCGTGTGCATGTGTTTTACAGATTCCCTGCCTCTCAGGCCGATGCACTCCGACTACAAAGGAAGCTCCCAATTAGTCAACTCCTACGACATGCTTTTGGGAAAGCAGTAGCACCCTGGAACCCACACGGGGAGCCAAAAACTGAAAATAAGGGAAACACAGCCAAACATCGAATAAGGGAAACAGCCAAACATTGAATAAGGGAAACACAGCCAAACGAATAAGGGAAACACAGCCAAACATCGAATAAGGGAAACACAGCCAAACATTGAATAAGGGAAACACAGCCAAACATTGAATAAGGGAAACACAGCCAAACATTGAATAAGGGAAACACAGCCAAACATTGAATAAGGGAAACACAGCCAAACATTGAATAAGGGAAACACAGCCAAACAATAAGGAGCCTATCTCTTTATTTAACAAAGTATCTCATCTTTTTACTGCCAAAGTACATCAATTATTTTACACTGACCACATTACATTACTATAAAAGATAGTAGATAAACCCCATATTATCTTTCACAACTGACACGACAGTTTTTTTTTTTTTTTTTAAACTATGTATATTATGTGTTGTTATGGGTTTTTCTTTCCTTTTTTCACTCTTAAAAGAAACCCACATCTACTGGGTTGTGTTGTGTTAGGCCTGCATATATTCCAGGCCATGAAATATGAGGTGGTTTGACAGTTCTCTTCCTCCTTATGTTTCCTCTTAAGATAATTTTGAGAACCGTCTGGTACACATGTTTACTAGGCTGGGTTGACATCAAAACCTAACAGGCTGAAAATGATCCTGCCAGGGCCAATGTCTCATCAGGAAGGACACAACTATGGCAAAGATGCACCACTGAAAACATGCCAAGCCTGCTGTTTTGTCTTGACCGTTGCTTCTACCAACTATGAACTGCAATTCTAGTGACAAACTGTTAGTGTTGGTACTTCTGGCAGCTGCCTTACTGAACAAATGTGCGAGCAAGTTGAATTTTTGACACAGTTGCTATATGTATGACTTTCTAGATAGAACATTGATAGGCATTCTGTGGGTGTTCTCACGGACACAGGAATGCAGTAATCATAGGACAACATTTGCTGTGAAGATGGAACCCTTAAATAGTGTGACAATTTACATAACCATAAAATCTGAGAACTTACTTTGCTAGATAGGATTTCCCGCTACCTGGAAGACCCCGGAGAATAATCATCACTGGCTGCTTCTCAAGGATGTAGCGACGTACGACCCCAACTGGAGTTCTGACCCCTCGGAACTGTAGCTTGTTCTTCAAAAGCTGGGACTCTGTAGAAACTGCTGCCGGCCTCTGTGTTCTGACATCGGATTCTGAAAGCATCTTCTTTGGTGCTGCTACAGAAGATGACATACTGGCATTTTCTTTGAAGAGGTTGGCTTCTGCTGTTGCTGCAGCAGCAGGCCTCACTGAACTAGCCAGTGAAGGTGGTAGTCTTGATGCTATAGAAGA